CAAAATAAAACTACCAATTTATGTTTAAAAGTGTGTGTGGGGGGGTTGGGGGGGGGCCCTAATGAAGGGCACACAGCATGCCTCCGTGGGTTAATAGGTAATCAGGCAGTCTCTGTCTGATCCTCTGTCTTGTCTGTCTGTCTGTCTTTGTTTAGGCTACTAGGCTGTCTCATCTTAGCTTCTTTTTCTGCACATCTTCCCAGTCTCCTGTGGTAGACCAGCTGATTCTTCCAGATATCTTATTCCTCTTCACACACTAGTTCAGAGATGCATCAGCTCTGGCCACTCAGGTATCCCCTCTTCTAGCTGGAGTCTGTATATACTATCATGTTTCCCCCAAAATAAGACATCCTCCGAAAATAAAACCTAGCACATGGAAAGATAAGACATCCCCTGAAAATAAGACCTAGTGCAACTTTGGGAGAAAAAAATTAATATAAGACACTGTCTTATTTTTGGGGAAACAGGGTAGTCTAGAATTCTCTTTTTTCTTATTTTTTTATTGATATCAGAGATGATGGAAGAGGGAGAGAGAGAGAAACATCAGTGGTAAGAGAGAATCATTGTCTCCTGCACAGCCCCCACTGGCGACTGTGCCCCCGACCAGAATGGAACCCGGGACCCCTTGGCACACGGGCCAACTCTCTATCCACTGAGCTGAACCAGCTAGGGCTAGTCTAGAACTCTTGAAGAAAATGCAATTTGCTGTTTGCTTTCCTTTGGCTGTAATCAGCCAACTGGATGGAGCAAAAGAGTTCAAGTGCTCCCTAATGAGCTCTCCTTCAGAGGACTGGGGGCTGGGGCCTGGCAGCCTTCTGAGAGCTTAAACCACAGGTAATGAATGCGGAGCGCCAGAGGAAGGCAACAGGGTGCCAGATTGTCAGATTGTGCTTTCCTCCCTTCAGGAAAGTGCATTTTCCCTGGAAGGGTAGTACAGCTATGTACTTAGCACAGATATGAGGCGCACTGGGATAAATACCAGAAAGCATTCCTGAAGGAGGAGAGAGGGATTCACATTACGGTACAGGGGATGGAGGAGGTGTGTCCACATGGGAGGACCTAATGGGCTTGGTGTGCGCAGTGCGGTGTAATGTAAAGGGTCTTAGGTGAGAGTGTGTACAGAGCACAGTGTATGGATCTGTTCATGCAGCTGTAATTCAGGAAGATTTATTGGAACTGAGGACAGTTTGCTTTTCAAGGAACTAACACAAGCCTGGACTTGCTACTTCTTTACGTTTTTATTGATGTGCCTGTGGTTTTCTGAAGTCTATCCTATATAATAAAAGCCCAGCAACCAAAAGGCGGAATGACCAGAACCATTGTCACTATGACAAGTCACTGTGACATGCACTGACCACCAGGGGGCAGATACTTAGTGCAGGAGCTGCCCCGGTGGTCAGTGCACCCCTACAGTGGGAGCTCTGCTCAGCTGACTGGGACGAGTGGCGCCCCCTCAGTGGGCCAATCCCTGTAGGCCATGCCCCCCACCAGTGCACAAATTCTGTGCACTGGGCCTCTAGTTTTTAATAATCAAACAAATCATTACTCATAATTGGGGTTGGAAAATTTTTTTGTTGGGGACATAATTTTATATTTCTGTGTATATAACTACATGTTTTTGGCTTTCTTAAATGTCAGGTTTTTTAAATTTAAATAACTGAAGGGATTCATATCCTTATTTCCTTCTTAGGTGATGATTTACGATATAGCAAAGAAAATATGAAACATGGAACTGATGCTTGTGATTATCAATAATTATGGTGAAAAGTCAGGGACTTACTACCTCAAGCACATTGGTGTATCTAATTATGTTAATCCTTACTCTTGCCTAAAACTATAAGCTCTGCTATTGTTTCAACCCAAAGTGCTTATTTGTCTCTGGTCCTATACTGGGGCTGCTTACTAAAAACAAAACGCTAGGTATGCAGTACTTGGGATTTTCATCAGAAACTTCACCGTGATTTTTTCATTATGTTTTCTGTTCTATTGTTTATTTTCTGAGTTGGGGGCTGCTTGTGCCATGTGGTAATCACTTCGACCAACTGGGACTGGCTGTGTTCCAGGAGAAATTTGGTGACCTTGATTGTTGATGTTCCTCCCTCTTTCTAAATAAACATGATGTCACAACAGCAGGATTGCATTATCTTTGGCAGCTCCCAATGAACGAATAACAGTAGGGAAGTCAGGGCTGCAGGTAAACCAAGCATGGAATCCACGTGGTTTAGATCCTATAATCTCCTCCATCTACATGTTACCTGTGGTTGCCGATGGTGTTCTGGAGAGAGACGTGGAAGCATGGGAAATGAGACCAGTGCCCTAGATTCTTGTGGTGGGAACTGAAGCAAATTCCTGGCTGATCACTTGGGGAAGCTCAGGTGATCTTTGGGTGAGGCCCGATTGCTAGAAGATTAAAGACCCAATGAATGACTGCTCTGTCACACCAGCTCTGACCCCAGGACACTGAGGATGGTTTGCTACGCAAACCAGAGATCCTGTTTTCCTCCTTATCAGCGTGTACCCTACCAACAGTTTCTGTGGTTTTGAATTGAAAGGAATAAAATGTGACTTGACTGCCTGCCACGGGGTTTATGGGAAACCGAGCGCTCCTGGGAACACGCTCAGCAGGGCCGCGCTTCTGTGAAGTGGCAGCTGGAGCCTCTTTGGACAAATGCAGTAACTCACACTTCATGGCACATAAAGTCGTGTCCCTCCGGGCGCGTTCTCTCGTGTCACAGAGTTTATGACTCGTGAGTGCTGCCCTTTTGTGAGATAATAAACGAGGGAAGGTGGTGGGAGAGTTACGCGTATTCCTGTGCAAAGAACCGCTTCACCTGCTTCATAGGGGAAAAGGCCTGGGGGTCATTAAATTTTTAGTGGTTTTGGAGTGGAGCATTATCTGAGCCTGAAATGCATGCATTGTAGTAGTGCTAAGATACTTAACGTAGGAAATAAAATAAAGGGAAGGTGGCTTTTTCTTTTAGGAGCTAAGTTACTGGCATTATTTTTTCTGTGTGCGTGTGCACATGCGTGTGTGTGTGTGTGTGTGTGAGTGTGTGTGTGTTCTCATAGCATATGCTTTCAACACTAAATGTACCCCATGCTACACTAATGGGTGCCTTATTTTTTTTTTTAAATAGACTTTATGTTTTAATTTTTTAAAAAAATATACATTATTAATTTTTTACAGAGAGAAAGGGAGATAGTTAGAAACATCAATGAGAGAGAAACATCAATCAGCTGCCTCTTGCATGCCCCCTAGTGGGGATGTGCCCACAAGGTTCATGCCCTTGACAGAATCGAACCTAGGACCTTTCAGTCCACAGGCTGACGCTCTAGTCACTGAGCCAAACTGGTTTCAGCTGTTTTACTTTTTTTTTTTTAATAGGCTAAAGTCTATTTTAGAGCAGTTTAGGTTCACAACAAAATTGAGAGGAAGGTACAAGATTTCCCATATAGCCCTTGTCCCCCACACATGCACAGCCTTCCCCACTACCAGCCTCCCCCACAGAGTGTACATGCGGATCTGATGATCCTACATTGACACATCATCACCTGAAGTTCAGAGTTTCAGTAGAGGCCACTCTTGCTTGTACTTTCTGAGTTTGGGCTAATGTATGTGGTCACCATTACAGTTTCATATGGACTCATTTCACTGCCCTAAAAATCCTCTGTTCTCCTTTTCATTCCTCCTCATCCTCTAACTCCTGGCAGCCACTGATATCTTATATGATGTCCATAGTTTTGCCTTTTCCAGAATGTCATAGAGTTGGAGTCATATAGCGTGGAGCCTTTTCTGATTGGCTTCTTTCACCAGTGACAGGCATTTGTCTGGGGGAGGGACTTCCCCCCTCCACCCTTCTTGAGTCCCCTCAAGTCTCTTAATGCTTCTCTCTCTTTTCACTCGACTTACCTGGCAAATCAGTATCTTGATGAAATGCAAGCTTTTGCAAGGGGAAATCCATTTTAGAAGGAAATTGTTATGGTTATATTTTCTTTCAAATATCTACTCATTATTAATCAATAAAAGTGGTTTGATATTTTACAAATATATCTTGGTTGGCCCGAATTCTACATTTCATTCCAAGTGTTCAGCAAACACCATAATGTACTGAGAACTGTAATCAAAGCAAGGGGCTGTAGCTAATTATCAAAGGAAGAGATCCATAATGGAATTCTTTACCTAATTGATAGCTCAGATAACTGTTTGATAAGTTATTCTCATGTAAATTACTTTGAATAAGAAGGATTTTTATATTTAAAGCTTGCTATGTGTCCTAGCCTGTGTGTAAAGTATTTGCCCAGTTGGTAAGATATGGGTGGGTTGAATTTTAGTGAAGGTAATATCTCCATGAATCTACTGTAACATTTATTTAAAACATGACAGAATACAATCCTCACACCACTTTACTTTGCATTGAAAATGACCCCGTGCTTAGGAGAGGGTCCCCTCCCCATTTTTATTTTTATCTCCTCTGGAAAAATAATATTTTAAGCCTGAATAGATGCTGTAAAATACAAAAAGGCACGTTGCTTAATGTTTGGACTGGAATGATTAGGTTCTTGACTCTTGCATATTTTTCTTTATCCTTGAATTGCTTACACTTGATTGGACACATGAGCCCGATTGAGTGTTGGGGGCTAGAAAATAAATACACATCTAACAATTGAATCTAGAAATCAAAATAAATGAACAGGAAATCTAATAAACAAGTTAAACTGCTGAATAAAATAGAATCAGAGGCATGGAACAGAGTGACACCACCTATTACCTATTGACACCAACAATAGGCTGGTGAAGGCCTGGGGCAGGAAGGGAACCAGGTGGAGGGTGGCAATGGGGAGAGAAAGAGAGGCATCTATAATACTCTCAACAATAAAGATTTAAACTTTAAAAAAAAAAAGAAAGAAAGAAATACATTAGAGTAACAGCGGTGATGGATCAGGTACTTGCTTATCCTAATCCCTGCCCCAGGTAACAATGCCCTTTTTGTGTGCTCCAGGTGTACCCTGAGCTGCAGATCACCAATGTGGTGGAAGCCAACCAGCCAGTGACCATCCAGAACTGGTGCAAGAGGGGCCGCAAGCAGTGCAAGACCCACGGCCACATGGTGATTCCCTACCGCTGCCTAGGTGAGCCGCCCAGCCCTGGCCCTGACCTTTGGGGATGGGAAAGAAGGATGCTCTGATAAGCTCCAGCACACAGGCTCTTGTTCGGCATGTTGCCGCTCTATATTGGATTATAGTTTGGGCTGTTAAAGTAGCCTGTATTCCGACAGTATAGGAGACATATTTCTGAATTTCCTGGCACAGAATGAACTTACCTAGGGTGTTTTTCAAAGTTATAAATTCTTGGCCCAAACCCAGGGCTGCTGAATGAAAGTGCCTGGTGGTGGAGCCCAGGAATCTTATTTTTACCAAATTCTATAGGTGATTCCCACATATACTGACTATCTACACTTGCAGAATTATGGCTTTTGTGTTTCTTGACATCGACTTCACAGAAGAAGTGACGTAATCTAAAGCTCCAGCATTTTGCTAGTTTCTTTAAAAAAAAGGGGGGGGGGGAGGTTTGATTTCAGAGAGAAAGGGAGTGGGGGGAAAAAGAGATAGAAACATCGATGAGAGAATCATCGGTTGGCTGCCTCTGGCACACCCCACATTAGGGATCAAGCACACAACCCTGGTATGTGCCCTGACAGGGTATCAAAATGAGTTCTTCTGGTTCATGGGTCAATGCTCAACCATTGAGCCATGCCGGCTGGGCTAGTTTCCTCTTAATCTTGTTCCTACAGCAGCTGACTTCTGCTCACATCAAACTAGAGGAAACAGTGTGATCACTGAGGTTTAAATGTGTGTTTCTCTCACCAACCTCGGATTTCACGTTAACTTTTCATTTAGAAAATTGAGTTTTTTCATGTGGAAACACATTTAATCTGATTTGGTTATTAGTCTCTTCCTTGTTGACATTTTTATGTAACCAAGCATTGTGGAAATCAGCAGTCTCTGGTCTGATGGCTAACATCTAGATGTTTCCCTACAAGTTTATTCACCAGTGGGATGGTTGTAAATAAAGACATAGAGATCTACATAGGGAGGGTGTAGACAAATATTGATATACATTCCAATGACTGCTGGTAAAGACTTAACAGGATTTTTTAAAAATATATTTTTGTATTGATTTCAGAGATGAAAGGAGAAGGAGAGAGAGATAGAAGCATCAATGATGAGAAAGAATCATTGATCGGCTGCCTTTGGCACACTCCCCACTGGGGACCCAGCCCACAACCTTGGCATGTGCCCTTGACGGGAATTGAACCATGACCTATTTCATAGGTTGATGCTCAATCACTGAGCTATGCCAGCTGGGCTAAAAGAAATTAAAAAAAGAAGTCCCAACAGGAAAATTAGGGGGAAGGGAAAGGATAACCATTGAAGATTCGGGAGCTCTCAGTAATACTTGGTCAAATATGACTATCATTAGAGCATACTGTCTACTGTTAATGCATGTATATAATCTGAGGTGCTCATGTTCACAGAAAAAAATGGGCATTAGGCCGAAACTGATTTGGCTCAGTAGTAGAGCATCGGTCTGCAGACTGAAAGGTCCCAGGTTCGATTCCGGTCAAGGGCATGTACCTGGGTTGCGGGCACATCCCCAGTAGGGGGTGTGCAAGAGGCAGCTGATCGATGTTTCTCTCTCATCGACTTTTCTAGCTCTCTATCCCTCTCTCTTCCTCTCTGTGAAAAATCAATAAAATATATTTTAGAAAATGGGCATTAGTACGATTTCATCTGGTGGATTTACTCACAAGGTAACTGATGAAGAGAGTTGGAAAAGCAATATCTTAGCTGCTTTACCACAAGACCATACAATTCAGCACAAGTTAGGAAGGAATCACGAATTAGTTAATTAGGCCTTGTTAATGATTCGTTTCTGTCAGTTCTCACTTTCCTATTCTATGAAATGTTTCAAATCCATTTTCCTTAGATACTAATCTTACAGGGAATGGATACCAGGTCTTTGGATGAGTATTATGGCTTAGGACACAGATAGGACATATTGCCATTTGTTTCAGAGGAACGCATATCATTTTGCTTAGACTTGCTGTTTCAGGATTCTATTCAGAGTTGTTAGAATTGACTGGAAGGTGGAACCCACATGAAGATTGTAATTCACTACCCAGTGCCACTTGGTTATGGCAGATAGGAACCTCCCCTTCTCTACAGCAAGAGTGTATTGAAACCCGAGGGGAATAAAACACTGTAAAAATGAGTAAGAGGTGTATAAAAAGTCTTCAGATATAAACATGAAGTCAGAAGATTTCATGAAAATGCTTTGATCTACTGTCGAAATATTTGTTTTTATCATGATAAGCAGTGTTATTTCCATTGAGGGAAACTTCATCCTCAGTAGTCTCACTTCACAGTCACAAATACTGAGTCAGTGGCATTGAATCTCTTGCTGTAACTCACACAGTTTGTTCGTGGGGGAATCGGGACAAATGCCAAAGATCTTTTCATAATCCAATGTTCCTTACAATATTAGCACAGAATTGTTTCAGAGCAAATATCCAGCTGATTTACAAAGTCAAAATCAGATCATAGACGAAAGATTATGATTGAGAGGCAGTAAATAACACTTAAAAAAAATTCACCATTGTGTTTATAAAAGAGACAACCATGACCCTGGAACAAGATAAATTGTGGTAACAGGCAGCAGTCTGGTATATTCCCTGCTGCTGGGACAAAGAATTACTGTTTAGTATTAACATAAGCTCTCTCTTACCTCACTGGCTATAGTCAAATATATCTTTTAGACAAAAAATAAAGGTTATTGTATTGAAGTTAATTCTCAGAAAGGTGCTACCTAGAAAACAAAATATAGTTGTCTTAAATATTAAGCACATTACAATTCAACATCTAGCCTGACTGGAGAAAAATGCCTGTTATGCCTGGCATGCGACCTTCCTGATCTTTCCATCCGATGTGGATCTGGTGTTGCTCTGGGTTGTGTTTCTCTAATCCCTGTGTTTGCCCTGGGCATGCGTGCTCCTGGGCACCTTGCATTCCTTGTTTAGAAGGGGAGTGTGTATCAGGTTGCTGTTGCCATTTTCTTCCCGTGGAGTGAATGATTTCCCTTGGGAGTGGGCTGGCTTTCTCATTTCACCCTTTGCTTTTGTGTCTCTGAACCCCTCCCCCCCAAGTATCAGATCTGTCTTAATCATAATAACCTTTTATTGTTTCATGTGGGATGTAAACACATCATTATAATTACTCAGGGAGAATATTTTCTTTGAGAAGCTTTAAACCCCTTTGCATTTGAATGACTGCTCTACATGGTGTAATAGATCCACTCTTGAAATTGAAGCCCTCTGTCCAGTACAGGCAAGGTGCATTGCATAAGATAAATTACTATTGATCTATGGGGGGACGGGAGAGGGGACAGGGGGAGACAAAGATTAAATTAAACCAAAAGAAATTAGAAGTGAAAGAATTACTACCTTAAATGCCATTCTATTTCATTATCTATTCAAGGCTTTCCAAACATACAAGCAGTGATGACCAGGAAGCTATTCAGCTGTGGTCAGATGAAAAATTGAAGGTCTTCAAATCACCTTAATTTTGAATTATATTGCTTTAATAACATTTTAAGACAAGCATACTTTGTGTTTTGGTGGCTGCTTCTGTGTGGATTAGCTACAACTATCTTTAGTGTGAAAAGGATGTGTTTAGGTATTCTGACAGATACTGTGCCAGAGTAGTTTTTCTTTTTTAATTTATGCTAAACAACAGTTCTCTTGAGATACAGCAGTGTGATATTCAAGAATGTTAACACAAGATTTCACCTACTGTTAAGAATAGGGATGGGGAATGTAGACTTTAATGATCTTATAAAGGCCTATCTGTCCCTGTACAGTAAGTACTTCAGTGTGATCGAGAGTCAGTACATATGCCTTCTCCAGTCTTCATGGAATCTGCACTCTGTAGATCCAACTGCATATGAAGTCTTGGGAGATGCATGTTCTGGGGTTATACATACATGCACACCATGGGAGTGATGCTTGATGAACCTGTCTCTGCCCAGCAGAGGGATATAAATTCTTAAATGTTCTATGTTTTTTAAGGATTGTCTATGCCATGCACACATAAGGAATGCCAGAACTATGGACAATTCTTCACCAGGGAATGCTAATTGCCATCCTCAGAGAGAGAGAATACACTTCTTTTTATGTGGTCTTCCACATAGGACCTTTGAGTATTCATTCCAAGGTAGTCATACTTCAAAATGAGTCTGATTCTCAACTATATAAAAGAAAATATGCATGGGAAAGAAATCTTACTAGTCAGTATCTCCAATCAGTGGAATTACAGGTGATTTTGATTTTACTTAAGCCCTTTTCTATTATGAGTAGTTTGTATCATAAAAAAAAAAAAGAGATAAATTTTGAAGTCTATCATCAGATGGTGATCCACTGGAAAAAAGTCAACAGGCTTAAAAGGCACACAGAGTGATTGTTTTAAACCTATGTCTTAAGAGTTTTTTTTTTACAGTAGGAAGAACTTCTTATAGGAAAACATTTTATTTTAAAAACATCGCGCTGCCACATTAAAAGAAATGTCTCCCATTGCTGTTTTCAACCAGACTTAAGCAGCATTAAGCATCTCTTAATTTTTTTTTTCAGAAAGATTGTTGATCTTGCTTAATTTTTTATTTTCACATTTTTCATTTGGTAGCTAATTTGTTTCAGGGTGGATTGTTGAATGGGGAGAAATGACATTTATCTTATCTGAGTGGGGAAGGACATGGAAGGTGCAGTTCCTCCTACTTGGTTATCGATAAATAGGAAAATGTCTAGAAATGATTTCTTCTAAGTATATCATCCACCAAGACCAGTGGGTAAGCCTTCTTCCTCCCATTTCTCCATTGGCCCTCAATTATTAATTGGCTCCAGCTTGATTTTCTTTCTAAAGTTGAAAAAGATATATATTTTTTTAATAAATCAAAATTGGAGGGAAATATTTAGTGGTCTTTGCTGTCTCCAGTTTTAATTTTTTTTCATCTTCTCATTTTAATCATTGTGCTTGCTATTATGTAAATCATCTTGCTAGGACTATAAACAACTTGTGTT